ATGGGTAGAATTAAAAATGATGGAAGGTTGCCCTTTTTTTCCTGGCACTCAGAGGTGTAGATATATAACTGTTGTGTATGTGGACATGTCATCAAGATGCATACATGGTGACTACCTAAGTTATAAAAGTGTGGCCGTGTGTATCATTAGGGGTGTTATGAATATGAGTAAAATATTCTGAATATAAATATGAACATGCCAGGGACAAAAATATAAATACCAATTTTTCTATTCAAAAAGGGAGGAATTAGGGAGTATAAAAAGAAAAATGGGACCAAAACACAGCTGGAAAATAATTCCTGTGTATCTGGGGCATGTGAGAGAGAGATGATATCTCCAAAGGGCTTGGGTATCTCTGTATTTAGGGACTTGCTATTTGCAAACCATGGGCCTCTCTCTCTGCCTGGCTCTGTCCACAGACAGCAGCTTTTCTCAGCAGATGTTGCACATTACTGTTCTCTCTTTACCAGGGATCTTCATCCAGCTTCAGATTTACATTTACTGCTTCATGTGTTGCCCTCTCAGGAGCTACCTCAAGGGATTCCAACCCTGCTACATGTTGCCTGTCCTCCCATGTTTTCCCTTTAAATCTCAATGGAAGCCTCTGTGTGGCCTTAATTCCATCATCCTGCATTCCTGCCATGCAATTTCCACAGGGATGACACCAAACTTTCCCAACAGGTCAAGCAGTATATCTGGGCCCCATTGGACTGTGGCTGCAACAGCCTCTGAATGCCTGGGCAGGTGACCATGGTGAGTACTTCCTGTGAAAACAGATTCCTGGTGATCCCTGTGTGGGAACATTGTCCTGATGGTCTTTTCTCAAAAGAGTTTTTTTTAACAACCTTAAGGGATGGGTTGGTCCTGCTAATCCTTGTATTGTCCTCAAGGAATTTTCTCATTATCCCTTTGCAAAGAACTTAACTTCTCTTGATTGGCAGTAATCTCTCAACAGCATTGCCTTCCTTGGTCCCAGTTTTACATATTTTTTTTTCTTACCAAACTGCAAGTTTTAAAAATTCTTCTACTTTGCTTTCTTCTGCTGCTTCTTGCAGTCATCCATACCCTTGCCAATGGCAATGTTATGGTGCCTGGAAACTTCCTCTTCAAATTAAATAAAACACCACCATAAATTTCCCCCCAGAACACCCAAAGTCTCAGGACATAAGCAAAATGTAGATTCTTCTTTGTCAAAACGTAACACTCATAACCTCTAGCCCAATTCCCGATTCCTTACCTTTCCCCTCTGAGTCTTCATAAGCACAGTCTCTACTGTCTGCATTCCTAGCAGCAACTGGTCTTCTGAGTTTGAACCAGAATCTTCCATTAAACTCCATTTAAAACCATCTCAGTCAATCTCCATCCTGCATCTCCAAACTTTTCCAAGCCCTTCATACAAACCAGTTTCAATAGCTCTGAATTACATGGTTTTACTAGTCACAGCAAGGATCTGACTTCTCAGTACCAATTTCTCTGTTCACTTTTAATTTCTCTGACCAAAATCCTGAAGAAAAATAATCAGGATGAAGGAAATTTATGTTGGCTCATGGTTTCAGAGATTCAGATTGTGATTGGCCAACTCCATTGCTCTGTGTCTGAAATGAGGCAGAAGATCACTGTGGAAGGGCATGGAAAAGGGATACTTCTCACTTCACAGAAATGAGGAAGCAACAAGAGAGCAATCAAAGTTTCAGGAATAAATATAAACTCCTAGTGACTTTGTTCCTGCAGCCCATGCCTCAAGTGCCTAAAATTACCATCCATTTAGTTTGCTCAAATGTGTATAGACCTATTAGGTTACAGCACTCGTAATCCAATCATTTCACCTGTGCATACTCCTGCAGTAAAACACTGCTAACAGAATTGTAGGATGCCTCATATTCAAACTATAAAACCCTGACATGAATATTTGATGTTATTGGAACAAATAGTGAGGTGACCTGGAATGGATAATGAATTTGTCTGTTAAGAATAACCAAAGAATTAATTTCATCTCCTAAATTACCTTATTCTTATCTCAGTGAGGTTTGAGGAGGAAACTCTTAGTGATATGAACTCCCTGCATTGAACATGAGGGGAAAATCAGTACTTTGCTTGAGGATCTGTACCTTCTAATTCCATTATTCTCACCATATAGATATGCTCTGTTGACAACTGAGAAACTTCACTGATGTTTTAAGCAGTGGTAAAAACTTGGATTAATGGCTTCATGCTGGACCCTACACTTGAGGCAAACATCATTCATTCAGAGATGTCATTAAAGATTTTGGCTTATGACCAGACAGAAATAAAGAGGTACCTGTAACACAAGAGGTGAAAAACCTCTATAATGAAAACTACAGAACACTAAGAAAGAAGTTGAAGAAAACCTCAGAAGATGGGAAGATCTCCATTGCTCCTGGATATGCAGAATTAATATATTTTATCTTTAAGGAAAGGAAAATTTTCTCTTTTTGATCTCATATTGGTGATGCTTTAAATAAAATTTTAACTTTGATTTATTGGGTCTTTCATTTGGTTCTTTTTCAGAATCTCTGTTTATTGAAATGATCTTTAATTTTTGGTGTTTTATTTCTTAATTCGTTTCTTATTTTTTAAAGTATGAACTTTGTAAATTCTTTTTCTGATATTTACTCCAATATGACGTAAACAGAATCAGGTTTTTCATTGTGGGCTAATAAGGAAGCTTGTACCCTTGCTTTTTCATATTGTTTATATTTCTACACATGTGAAGGGACGATTGCATCCTCTAAGTTTTGCAAGGCACTATTTAGTGAGCTTCTTTCTCTCATTTGCTTCCCGCTGGGCAATATCTAAGTATTGACACTCCCGTGAATCATCTACTAAGCCAGGTATCAACATCATGTGTACATTTCAGCTCATGTGTATATTACAACACACAGTGTGCACCCTCGTACTCAGGCATACTGAAACATATACATATACAGTCATTCCCAGACTCTCACTTTCACCTTAAACACACTCACGATGCAGACACGAACACAACAGTCATGTTCCACTCTCTGTCACATAATCACACATTCATCTTCATGTGTGCCTCAGTATGATGTGTGTGTGTGTGTGTGTGTGTGTGTATTTGTGCTCATCACATGCCTGTGAAAGCCATAAAGAGGTGGCCTTGCCTTCAGTAACTCTTTACATTCCTTCCAACCTCCCACACACAACCAGGACAGCATGTCCATATGCAGCATTTAAACAGGCTCTGCTGTTTGCTGGGAATGCACAGGTGTGATGTGAAAAGCCACAGAGATCAAATTTCAGGCATCCTCAGCTCCTCCATGAACTGCAGGCATGAGCTTGACCCACTGCTCATAAACTGAGACCCCTGCCCTTTGCTCCTGGGTGCTGTTGCCCACTTATGCCAAGATCCCCTCCTCTGTCAGGCTCCCTATCTTTCCTGTGCAGGTCTTTTCTTCCTCCCCTTGTCTATCATGTCCCCCAAGCTCCACTTCCTTTATTTACACTCTGTATGGGCCTTAGTCCACTGCTCACCAAGACCTGCATCCTCCTCTATTGATCTTACACACAGCAGTTTTTATCACGTTTCCCTTGAACCTTGATCCCCTTTTGCCTTTGAATCATGCATTGTCAATTTACCCTCTGTTAATGGGACACCTGTCATCCTTCTCCCCTCCAGAACCCAGTATCCTTAACTTCCTCACACACAAGCTGTCTTTGTGACCTAAGCCCAGCACTGACTTGAGCCCCTGAGCAACATGTGGTATCCTTCTGCCTTCTCACTCTCCACCTTCTGCTCTTCCCCAGCACTTTGTGAACCCGCCCTCCAGGGTCTCCACTCCACCATATTAACTCTGTCATCCCATTTCCCTGTGTCCTCTGTCACTCTCATCTGTCACACAGCCAGACAGTCTCCCTCTTCTAAATGCTTCACTATTAAACAATTGCTGCTGCTTATTGCTGACATGTGCCCCAAGAGTTGGAGTGTGTGCACAGTGATCAAATTCTGATGCAGGTCAAATGGAGAAAAATTATGAGAAATTGGTTTATCAGAAGGTATCAAACAAGTTAATGAGTGAAAATTTGTGGATTTTTTTTTGTTGTTTTTCAGAGTCATGTCTGTTTCCACAAGCCTCTACAAAAGTGATGATTTTCAGCATACTGTAGATTCAAAGTGGTTGCTTTCAGGGCAGCCTTGGAGCTGAAGAGTTGGAAATAAGATTAAGCCTGGTTAAAAAGACAGGAGTCTCTCCTGTGCCTTCCCGTATGGACTTATTTGGCTGTTCTAGGTAACTTTACTTTTAATTGGGGCCTCCAAATTATGGCAGGCCTCAGTAGTATGCATGGATTCAAAAAAGCATCAGAGATCTTAATTACCCTTTGTAAGGCAGGATGGCCACATTATAATGCTCTACCTTCAGTGAACCAAATTTCAATCTCAGGGCCATTACCATCTACCTACTTTTGTCTGGGTCTCTGTTTATTTCATCTTCATTCTCTAATCAAACTAATGGTACATTTCTGGAAAACTATGTATTAATCTCATGTACATCCCACGTACCCTTCAACAAAAGCTCTACCAGAAGATAAGGATATGTGAGATAAATATAGAGAGAATTGTTAGCTTACAATATCCACAACTCATTTCTCTACTGTATTTTCTTCTGGCAAATGTTTTCAGGAGTATAACACTTGTTCAGTTATTGTGATTTAAAGGACTTCCAAGGACATAGAACGCATTAATTTGATTTGTCTTCATCTATAAAATTCCAATGACTATCTACAGGACACTATGCATCATCATGAGGACAATCAGCTGTATTCCCAGCACCATGGCCATGTTGAAACCACATTCAGAGAGCTGTGAATCCCAATGTCCTTTGGGGTTTACAATAGAAAGACAAGTGACTATTCAAAAGTTTTTTATTGGTGTTTTGAACAAGAATAAGACTAAACAACTGCATATTGTGCAAAAGCATATAATTCATATACTTGAAATCAAATTTAAAATTGGTTTATGCCTCAGAAGTAGAGCCTGGATAGAATGGAGTCAGGGCTCATGAAAAGAAAGGGGCTGACAGTGGGAAAACACATGAAGACGAGTGAGTTGGTGTTCAGCAACCACCAGCTGGGATTAAAATCAAAGGAAACACAAACATTTAATAGGGAGGAGAGGGTGTAGAAACTCACAAAGGTGCCCACCAGGACAAGGATTCTCTGGGTGGCTCTGGACTCAGGACAGGATCTGGGGGAAACTTTGATGCTGGGAATGTGCTGAACACTCTGCTTGTGCCTGTACAGAAGGAGAACCATGGAGCCACTGGACCAGATCATGAGCACAGAAAAGACAACCTCAGGAAATACAAATAAGGCTGCATATATTGATTCTGAGATTTTGTCACCAGCTTCAGAAAAACAGTACCCATAATTTGTTTTTCTTGTTAGATTTTTGCTACTCCATTTGCTAAACATATAGAGAGGGAAAATGGAATTCACCACCATGTATAGAATCCAAGAAAGGGAAATAGAGAAACCAATGTACTTTGGAGCTTTTCCTTTGAGATCCTTCCAACAGGAGTTCATGGGGCTGATGGTGATGTTCTGGAAGATGCTCAAGAGGCAGGTGATGAAAATGGACGTACTTCTGCCCACTCGCTGCACGTACAAAAGAAGTTTGCACACATAGTCATTGAAGTAATGTTTCAGCCCAAGAGTTGTCATTGTCTGGGGAATTCCTTTAGAGAGAATGATCAGGGTGTTGGCTATAATCAGGTGCCTGAGAATCAAGTCAGTGGACCTTAATTTGCACTCATTGCAGAAGAGGACTAAATAGTAATAAAGCAGAGAGAAATTTCCCAGAACTCCTACTGCAGTCTGTGATAAAAACATCAGTCCCATGGCCACGTCTCTGGAGTCCATTTTCTCATTCTCATATTTTCCTTTGAATTACAGCAATAGTCTTTCCTATGAACAAAAAGACACATTAAAAATTTTGAAGGGAAGCCCATTCATGTTCACCTGTAGTTTCCAGATCCTCTGGAGGCTGAGACAAAAGTCAGGTTTTAGCCCAAGTATTAAAAGTGAGCCTGGGAAGCATTGCAAATCCTTCTCAGACCTCATTATCTTGCTCAGTACACGGCTCAACTAGAAATGGAAGAAAGATAATCCAGGCATTGACTGTCTGGTCTCACTGACTATTCTGAACATCTCGGTGGAAATGATTCTTTAATTTCTCATTAAGAATGTTTCCCCCGCCCCCACCTTGCTTTTTTTTTACTGTTCTGATGATTTCAAGGAAACATATACATGCACATAAGTGCTTTTTCTCATTTTTAGCATTTTTGAAAATGTTTAACATTTTTAAAAGTTTTTCTTCCCCTTGTCTTCAGAGGTTTAGAGATTTTTATTAGTATATTTGGTTTTATATTTTATTGTTTCTTTGTCTGTTTCTCTTCTTTTTCTTTCTTCTGAAAGCCCAATTCTATTGTTCTCTTCCACCCTCCATTTACTGTTTGACTTCTGTTTTTTTCTGCTCCTTTATAACCAACACATGCTACATCTCTTCTGCATTCTCTCTGTTCAATTTTTGAAATTATGAACCCTTTTCTATCTCCCAATCACACGCTCTTTTTTCTTAATTAACTGTAGTCTCATAATTTTTAGCTCAAATTGGTTTTTATGATTCCCAACCCCACATTAATGCTGTTGCAGTTGTCACTGCTGTGGGTGTGATAGTTGACACCTGTTGTTTGCTTTCCTCACAGATATAGTTCATGGTTACTTAGGGGTTTTGCTGGTACCAATCAGTGACTCTACCATTTCTGGGTATTTTTTGTTTGTTTGTTTGTTTGTTTCAAGTTCACATTGTAGAAGGCATAGTAAGAACCATTTCATTGAAAGTTGTGTATTGTTTGCAGAGTTGTTGCTAATTATTTGTGTTCCCTATTCTGGGAGGTGCTGGAACCGGTAGAAACACTACAAGTTCACAGGGTAAAAACTGTGATGCTGAACTAAACTCAGCCAAAAGACAGCACACCTTGTTTCACACACTAAGTACTGAAACTCTTCAGCTATACCTCAACATAAACATTAGAAGAGAAAAAAGCCCAGACTAATGATGAGGCCCCAAGTAGAAATGACTAAAGGTGGGCCCCAGGCCCCAGCTACACACATCCATATCTATAACAAAAACAGAGAGAAATAACCCAAAGGCTCTGGATACCAAACCTATGAGAGGGTCTCAACACAGATCACTCTAGGACGATTTTCACTAAAATATATTCTCAGGTACAATGTAAGTCTTATCAAATACAAAATAAAAATTGATTTTATCTTGTGAATCCTATCAAATCAGTATGTAATGAAACTAGAAATCAACAGCATGGTGCATAGAAATCATTCAAGTACATGGATATTGAAAAAATATATTTTAAGTGAGAGATGGATCATAGAATAAATGAGAGAAGAAATCAAGAATTTTTTTAGAAATAAATGAGAGCAGAGATATAATGTGTTAAAATTCTTGGGACAGTATGAAGGGATTTCTATAAGAAAATTCCATAACATTGAATGCCTACTTTAAAAAATACCAGGAAGACCACAAATACATACTGTAATGCTAAATATCAAGGACCTACAAAAGGAAGAACTAATATAAGATCAGTAGAACACATGAAATGACTGAGATCAGAGCCAAGGTTAATGAAACTGAGAATTTTTTAAGAAAAGCAATACAAAGAAACAATAGAACAACCATGATTATTTGAAAAGATAAATAAAATTTATAAACCTATGGCCATCTAAAAAAAATGATAGAGAAACCCCAAATCAACAAAATATCAAAGGAAATATCACCTCACCACAGACACTTCTGGACTACAGAGGTTAGAAAATATTTGAACACATTTTAAACATTTACTCCCTCTTCTCCCATCTGTCTCTCTTCCTCCCCTTCTCTCTCCCTCCTTCTATTCTTTTCTCCCACAGTAGGGATTTAACACAGAGGCACTTTACCACTTAAATACATCCCAAGCAATCCCTAGCCCTTTTCATTTTTCTATTTAGAGACAGAGTTTCACTAAGTGACCTAGGGACTTGATAAATTCTGGGGCTGACCCTGAACTTGCCATTCTTATGACTCAGTCTCTGAGTCACTGGGATTAGAGGCATGCACCACTGCACCCAGCTGTTAAATTCTATTAAACTGGAAAATCAACAACCTTGACAAATATCTATACATATATGACTAGCTCAAATCAAGCCAGGAAGATAGAGAAAGCATAAATATAGCAATATCAAGTAAGGAAATTAAATCAGCTATTAATGTCTTTTCTAATAATAAGAAGCCCAAGACCAGATAGATTCTCAGATACATCCTACTTTACCTTTAAAAGGAACAAACACCAAGCTTCCTCAAATTATTCCATGAAGTAGAAAGAAAGGGAACTTTACATTCTGTGTAGTATTTATAATGCTGATAGCAAAACCATACAAAGAAACAACACGGAAAAAAATCTATAAACCAAAAATCTTGATAAACATAGATGCAAAAAATACTTAGTAATATATTAGCAAAATTCTTTCAAAAATAATTCAAGAAGATAATACACCACAAACAAGTGGGTTTTATTCCAGGGAATGAAGGCTGGTTTACCATATGCAATTCAATAAATTTAATAACTCCCCAAACAAAAGGAAATTAAGAACAACAATCACATAATCATCTCAGTAGGAGCAGAAAAATCCCTTAATAAAATCATAAACCATTCAAGTTAAAAAGACTGGAGAAACTAGGGATAGAAGGAAGTTGACTCAACTTCATAAAGTCTGTATATGACAAAGTGAAACCCAGCATCATCTTGAATTGAGGAAAAAAGGAAAGCATATCCTCTAAAACCTGGAACAAGTAAAGGATGTCCCTATGACCACTCCCATTCAATATAATTCTATAAACTCTGTCTATAGCAGTCAGACAAGAAAAAAAAATTAAAGGCCTCCATATAGGAACAGAAAAAGTCAGATTATCTATTTGGAAATGACATGATCCTGTAATTGTTTTTAGAAAATCCTCCAAATTTCAGCAAAGTAGCAGATACAATAGCAATGTTCAGAAATCAATAGCTTTCCTATATTCCAACCATGAATCTGCTGGGAAAGAAATCAGGAAAACAATCCCATTCACAATAACCTCAAGAAAAAAATAGTTGGGGATCAATCTAACCAAGGAGGTGAATTATCTTTATAATTAAAACTACAGAACCCTGAAGAAAATAAATGAAAAAAGATCTTAGAAGATGGAAATATTTCCCATATCTTTGGTAGGGAGAGATAATTTTGTCAAAATGGCTGTATTTTTAAAAGCATTACATGGATTCCTTTAAATCTCCATCAAAATACCAAATGACTTTCCTCACTGAACTAGAAAAAGAGTTCTAAAAATGTGTGGAAGAGTAAAGTCCAAGAATTACCAAAGCGATCCTGAGCAAGAAGAGTTATGTAGAGGGATCACAATTCTGTGCCTCAAATCAGACTACAGAGCTATAGTAACAAAAAGAGCAGGGCATTTTCATCAAAACGACATGAAGACCAATGAAGTAGAAGACACACAGAAAAACTCACACAGTTACAGCCATCCAATATGTGACAAAAGTGCCAACAACATAAGTTGGAGAAGATGGCCTTTGTAACATATGGCCATGGGAACACTGGATAACCATGCACAGAAGAATTAAATGAGATCCTTATCTCTAAACCTGAACAAAAGTTAATCAAATTGGACCAAAGATACAGGAATTAGACTGAAAACTTTGCAACTGCTAGAATAAGACACAGACTTAACACTGCAGCATATTGGTGCAGGCACCAACTTTCTTCAAATCCCTAACATTAAAGAAATAAAACCAAGAATGAGAAAGATAACATCAAATTAAAAAACTTCTTAACATCAGTGGATATCACTAAGAGCATGAAGAGAGATCATACAGAATGGGAGAGAATCTTAGCTAGCTACTCTTCTGACAGAGTTGATATTTAGAATATGTAAAGAATTCAAGAAGTGTACCATCAAAAAAGCAAAAACAACAACAAAAACAACACACACACACACACACACACACACACACACACACACCTGGGTGCAGTGAAATAAGTGTGTAACTCCAGCAGCTTAGGGAACTTCTCTAAGCAACTTAGAGAGACCCTGTTTCAAAATAATAAATAAGTAAATAAAAAGGCTGAGAGTGTGGCTAAGCTTAAGTGCCCCTGATTTTAATTCCTAGTAAAACAAGAAAAACAACAGCAACAACAACAAAAAAAATCCACCCAAATAATTCAATCAATAAATGGGTTAATGAACCAAACAGGCATTTCCCAAAAATAAATGGCACACAAGTATATGAAAACATGTCCAACAACCTGGAAAAAATTGTTTCTCTCCTTTGTCTACAGTGGAAGGGAATGTGTTTCTACCCCAAATTCTTTTCCATAAATGAGCACTTCCTCAAACTTCCCTGCTTACACACTCTGCCTCTGAGACACAAATAGAAAACACTCACCATGTGCTTCTTCTGTGCAAGGTGCTGGGCTCAGTGTGAGGTCCTGACAGCCAGCATGGAGGGAGGGAGGGAGGGAGGCAGCTGCGCCCTGAGATATAGGTCTGTGCTCCTGTGACCTCACTTCCCCTCAGGGCTGCAATTATCACTTCACCTGGAGAGGCAAGGACAGTGCAGGCCTGGGGAGCCCAGGACAAGGCTGAAAAGCTTTCTCCACACTTGCTAATTACCAAGACGATTATGAGTTCCTTGTTAGCAACTTCAGAATGAGTGTCAAGAACGTTGAGAGAAGCTGTTGTTTTTGCATGATCCCTGGGGACTGACAGGGTCTCATATGGAAGGTTCTGGAAATACTGAGCTGTGACCTATGTTGGACTTACAGAGAGCTTGTGTGTCTCACTGGACTC